TTTCATTTAGTGGAAGATTGATAATGTCAGTGATTCACTGAATCTGATTTACAGTCCAGCCACTAGCATCTCACCACGATCTATTATGTTGGAGGCGGTTACTCTAATTCACAGAAACCTTGAGCCACTCATGCAAGGACAATATGCCAGATGAAAATAAGGTGCACACACTCTGAAGCTCTGCAGCTTTCATCCATTAGTCATCTCATCTAAAAATATTAGAAAAAAAAAAACAGAAAGTCACTTAAATCCATCAAAGTGTGAATAACAGGCTTTGTTCTACTTTGCCATTGCATAAGGGATGTGACTGACTCCAAATAACCTCCACAGACACTGAGTCTGCTCCACTGTCAGTCCCAGCTGATACGGGATCAGCCAGCACTGAGCCCAACCAGGACAGACACATGTCAGCGTTCACACTGTTAATTAAGACGCCTGCTTTGCACCATTTTTTCAGATAAAACGAATGAAGAGTATTATATGAAATATGCAATAGCCAAGAACGATACAGTTAAATATCACTCAACTTAAAGCTAAAAATATGTGTTTAAACTAGCTCTGTCAGCGTTAATCTCGTTAAAATGACGTTAACGCCATAAACGCATTAAAGCAGCAAGTCTCCGTTAGCGAGTTAGCGTGGATCGCCCAGTGCGAGGGGCTGCTAACGCGCTAACTGCGCTAACTGCGCTAACTGCGCTAAAGCGTTGATGCCATGCAGCCCCACAGCACTAGTTTAAACTAATTTTAGCTAACTGAAATAAAAATAATCTAGACTAACTAAAATGTTATTGTGTAACATTCAAGTTTTAGTCTTTTGTCTTATAAATAAAACAATAAAACCTCAATTAAATGGTAAATGGCCTGTATTTATATAGCGCTTTACTAGTCCCTAAGGACCCCAAAGCACTTTACATATCCAGTCATCCACCCATTCACACACACATTCACACACTGGTAATGGCAGCTACATTGTAGCCACAGCCGCACTGGGGCGCACTGACAGAGGCGAGGCTGCCGGACACTGGCGCCACCGGACCCTCTGACCACCACCAGTAGGCAACGGGTGAAGTGTCTTGCCCAAGGACACAACGACCGGAGACTGTCCAAGCCGGGGCTCGAACCGGCAACCTTCAAGGCGAACTCCCAACTCTTGAGCCACGATCGCCCAATTAAATGAGCACACCTCCTCTGAAACTAAACTAAAGGCAAAATACAAATAAATCTAATAAAAAAAGTCAAAATTTTAAAATGTATAATAAACCTTTGGGTTTAAATAGCACATGTTTTGGTATGAGTGTGCTCAACTTGAGATCATCCTTTTAAAAATACACCTACAGGTGTTGGATCCGGTCGAGTCACTGCAGAGCACAAAAGATCTTGTTCCTTCCCGAAGGTTGCTGCAAGCTCAGAATACCATCAGTCATTTGTACCCACGTCTCCGGTGATGACGTGAACACCTGAGACTGCACACAAGCTGCCGGTGAAATCCCCCAACATCCGGGGTTGGGCTCAAGGTCAACCATCCCCCTCTGAGGAGGGGGCCACTGAACGCATGACCACCATCAACCAGATTAATCACCGCTGACTCATGAAACAACCGTGATTAATGGCGAAGCTGCAGACGATCCACCTCCTCCACCACACTTGGAATGTGCTGCCGGACCCAACGTGCACGAGCACGCTGAAGTCAACAGCCATGCGACAAACTTAGAGCCTTTTATGACATTAAACTCTGCAACTCGGCCCAAAATAACCCACATTTTACCAACACCCTCCCTCTGATAGTCTCAAACTCTTATATCATCCCTCTGTGATGTGCAACTATTTTGTCATCAGGCTGCTATCCCCACGTTCTCCCCAGCTTCCACTTCAATCTGTGGTTCCCTGCTTTTCCCAGAATGCCCTTCAACAGCTCGCAGAGAGTGGGCGGGAGCATGTTGGTTTCACTCAGAGGCAGGTAGGCGTGTATAGGTACACATGCAGCTTGAAAGCTGTGGGGTTATTCACATCTATATCTGCAGCCCCTTCCTCAGACGTGTCCTGTAGCTACACTGCATTCAGCTCCACCGAGGCCACTGTGGGTGTACACAGTGATCTCTCGTGGGGATTTTACCCCCTGTTAATACAACATGTTGGTGTAAAAGAGCTGATTGCAAGGAAGCGGAAACAGAAACGAGTCTAGAAACAGGTTGCTAGAAACATCTGAATTTAAAGATAAGAGGTTTCCTGTTAATGAGAAATGTTGGCACCCTCAAAAGAACAATCACCTGGACTATAATAAAAAATATTATTATTCCAAGAAGAAGAATCCTTTCAGTGTGGTCTTCCCAGGATCTCCTTCCAGCTGGACAGAAACACCTCAGGAGCTGTCCAAGAGGCATCTTAATCAGATGCTGAACCACCTCAGCTGGCTTCTTTTGATGCAGAGGAGTAGCGACTGTACTCTGAGCCCCTCGTGCTATCTCTAACACATCGTTCAGAGAAAGCTGATTTCTGCTGCTCGTATCCATGAATTCATTCTTTCAGTCACTACCCACAGTGTGTGGTTGAAGGTGAGGTTAGCACGACCCAGTAAATCAACCAGTACACTCAGCTCTCCGTTTACTACGACAGACCTGCACCCATTAATCTGTTGATCTACCGCTTCTCTTTTCCCCAGCGAGACACTGAGGCATGTTCTCCTACTTTCATCCCTCTGTACCACTTACTGGACAAGCAGCGGGACAGTTTATCCAACCGACTGATTCCGTGCTGCTGCCAAACGGACAGATACAGGAAATCTTTTACACCACACGCGATCACCCTCAATATGACAATAAGTCTAAGAAAAAATGAAGCAGGTATTTCACCCCTCATTGCTGAAAGTGTCTAAATTTCATTATATTGCTGCTACGATCTCATGAATATCGCCTTGTTAGCGTTAGTGATTGGTTGTAGCTACGATAACTGCTCCAGTAAAACTACATTTTTATTTCTTTATTCATTTTTAAAAGTGTCTTATTAAGTGGATTTCAGTGACAATGGGTGAAAACTTATATACCAACCCTCAGCTGTACTATAATATTTAAGGTGCCACCCAAGATAAGTGGAGCCTCTGTTGCAGAGACAATGACTGACTTTAAATCCCATGAACAAAAGCTAGTTTATGCCTCATTGGCAGATTATGGATGCATATGATTGGTTATTTTGTATTTTTTCTACTGTATAGTTAACATTGAGCAAAAAAAATCCCATTTTTGATTATGAGCCACAACGTGGCAACAATCCAATCCAGACTTACTATGAGCAACATTATTTGCTTCTGCAGAAACAACCTTCAGACTCAACCTCGTTTTAGCGAAAACACATTTTATTAGCAATCCAGTGCAAGAAAAAAAAAAACAACTACTCTGCCTGCAATCCTAACCTGAAACAGCGACGTCTCCGGTTGGTGGAGGTTGCAGTTACCATGGAAATGTATAAACCTGCAAATATCAGGTTGCTTAGTGAAAGAACTTCAGAAACTGTGAGCAGTAACTGGACCATAACTAAGGCAATGCTTTATTACACATTCATACAATACAAGCTAAATATATATAGAAGTATTCACTTTGATCAGGTTGGAAATGTGCTGTGGAATCTGGGATTTGCATTATGGGATGAGTAGTTCCTTCACTGTTTTAAGCCATTATGTACTCAGCCTTGTGCCTCTGCCCTGTTTTTCCTTTATTTTTTCATCCAAATTATTTTTTTTTACTTTAATCTTGTAGCTGTTTGGCTCGGTTGAAGATTTGAAACTCATTCATTTGCACATTACACCTCAGAGATCACAGTGGAAAAAACTACAACATTTTTACATGTAGAATTTGTATAACTAAAGCATATTCTTTCTTCGAGATCCACATACTTTTAACTTCTCATACATGTTTACTCCTGCGTAATAAAGCTAGCATCATCATCGCTTGATGGACAGCTGTGCATTTTAATGAAAACCTGAAGCAATTACCGACTTCACAGCAAGTTTCACACTTTGTTAATCCATTAAGTTAGCCGCATTGGACACGTTTTCTAGGCCAGTTCAGGCCCTCGGGCCACACCTTTGACTTGGATGATAAGTCAGAGGGGATGGTAGCATTATAGCACGGTGGCCTCATAACAAGATGGTCCTAAATGATAATGATTCCAAAAATAGTGGCATTTGATATGCAGATGTGACATTGTTTACAATTATACTGTAATGACAGAACAAAGAGGTTAGAAATGCAGGGTGCACTGCCGAAAGCCTTTTTCTTTCTCTTTTATATATGTAAAGTGTTTTCAGGCTGGATTTAATTTGAAGTTTCAATTAGTCACTCTGCTGCTGGTGAAGTATCACACCACTATTTTTATGTGGCCCAACAGGCCAAATCTAAGTGCGTAAATAATGGAGGTAGGGGAAGCTCTTCTCTAATGTACCCTCGGTTTCAGTAACCCGGTGAGGCAGGTGTAGGTGTGCAGCTCTAAAAAATCCTGGTTAAAACACATCCTCAACCACACACATGGCCCTGCAACCATATATATGCAAGGTGATATCATCCACAAACACGCACCTACACAGACACCTACACGCATGCATACCCATCGCAAATTCACACAGGCACACACTAAGTTAGGTGAATGCTACTCAACACCTGTGCAGCGCAGAGAAGGGCAGTTAGTTTGCAGGATTTCTGCAATATTTTATCCAGTCATGCGTGTGCGCGTGTGTGTTCGAGTCCTCTTTCCCCCCTTATAATGTAGTCGCAGATGGAGACAAAAAGCACACAATCATCTCTTTTTATGCAGCTAGTGTCTCCATGTATGGCTGATGCTGCAGCTGCATTCAGGGCATCACAGTAAGACATAAAATGGGAGGGTTTTGTTGCATTATGCTGAGGCGTTCCTGCATTGTATGCATGTATGGCTGCAGACGAGCCTCATGATAAAAACCTGTTCGCCTGTCTACCACACTGCAGTACCGACACAATAAAGAGGGCAAATACCTGATTTTTCTTTTACGCAGGGGCTCCACGGAGAGGAGGATGCTGATCCTATAGATGCGGCACCCGTCACCATTTTCCCCTTTGAAGAGAGAGGAAAAAATAAGTGTGCACAGCAACGTGTGAATTGAAGTAAAATGCAGTTTTGTCCCCATCAGTAAATAAACACAGGCTCTCCAATGAAGCGCAAAGATTGCAATGCCACACATGCGCCCTGGTAGGGAAAATGTGGCACTGCTGATGCCTTTTAAGTTAATTTCAATCGTATTTTACAACAATGAAAAAACAAAAACAAATTGTGGGTTAAAGATGCCTTAATGTAAACTCCGACACTCGCAAACCCAAAATGGGACTACAGCTTTGAAGTTACGCATGATTAAAAGCATCGCACGCCACTCCGGTTCACAATTTTCATGCCTCTCAAAGCAGCAGTGCTCAGAATGAAATAGATTTTTTACCTGCTTCCTTCTTTGTCGCCTCCGCTGGGATCCCTATTGTGATTCGCGGATAGTGAATGGGAATGTGTCACCTACATGTTTCATTGTAATTCCCAGGTCTGGAAAAAGGAAATTGATTAGCCGCAGTGAAGCTTTGCTCGGTCTTTTTTTCGCCTCCTCCAGTACAAGAATGAAAATAAAACCAACACAAAGATAATAAAAATAAAAATCAGTAAGAAGACGCGTTTATAAAATAATCGTTCAAGTGTCGTCGCGTTATTTCAGCCTGCTCTTTGTGGTGGATGTGTGCGCTCTCCCCAGTGATGCTCCAAGGCTCCACGTACGCCCGGCGCTGATGCTGCTTCGGCGTCTCTGCCTCTCTGACAAAAAACTGCTCTCACAGAGGTCCGCTGCTGTCTGCGCCCAACTCATTGATTGGACAATATGGCACTAGCCCACGTTCGCCTTTCTAAAGTACTGCAAATGATCGACCAATCCTGGAACGGATGCCTACATCTGATTGGCTGTGTCCTGTTCGAAATCGTCGGTAAGTTCCTGGTACACGCGCACCTGTGACTACTTACAGTTAATGTAAATATTAATGCGCTGGTCGTTAATGTAGCAACATATTAATGTTCTGAGTTCTTATACTCTGTTTTCATTGGCTGACTGGATTCCAAAAGGTAAATTCCACCACCCGCTGCTGTTTACAGTTAATGTAACCATTGATGTAGCTTAACTAAAAGGCTTTACTGGAAACATGACTTTGTGTCATAGGCTTGTTAATATCTGACTCACATGGTAGCACAGGTTTAATTTATTCTAAGTTAGAATGGAACACTTGTAAATCTATTAAGACTTACAGCAACTGTAGGTAATAATGCAATAGCCAACAGTGTAGCAACACATTAAAATATAGAGTTCTTATTAATACAAACACTGTAAACCATTAACATCCTTGCCCGAAGCATGGATGTCTTGTGTTTT